CCAACTCAAAAAAAAAAAAAAAAAGAGCCACAACAAAGCTGCTTTCCTTAGCTGTAAGTGTTGTAGCACACCTTTCCTAAAATTCCCCAATAAGAGAATTCTGAAGCTTTTAGGCTTGGGCCAACTCAGGTTTGGTAAGCCAGAGTACATTCAACATTAGAACAATTTCCAGCAACTGGCAGACATGATGCTTTTACTCCATCTAAGCAAAGACTGATACTCAAAAGCTGACAGCATCATATGCTCCAAAGGCTCCCTCCCCACTCACCTGGGAGGGATGGTAGGCTTGAGGAATTCTGCATCTTCCTCAAGCTCTCTAACAGTGGGTTAGTGCTGGGGGCTGGCAGGGAGGCTGTTGACGAGGCAGTCCCAGCAGCAGGCAAGGTCAAGGTAAAAGAAGGTTGAGTGGTGGGCGGGGTCTCAGTGACCGAGTTTGAGGCAGCATCTACGAAAGAAAAGGTAAAGCTGTCCTGGTCTGTTCAGGACTTTTCCAGACAGCCTATCAGAGAGTGGAGGGGATGCTCGGGATCTTAGGACAGCTCATCTAGGAATGACTCCCCTTGAGCGCAATGTTCACTGTTATCCAGGTTTCCGTGAAGACTCATATCGAACTCTTCCTGGGGTTTGCCCAGAGAAACCCATTTAAAAAAAGCAGAAAACCCCCCAAAACACCAAAATAAAATCAAAGGAACCAAACACTTCAAACCTCTCGTGTGTGCAGTTGATCTGTTCTCCTTATCGGTCTTGTCCTCTAAGACCTTGTTAAACCACTGTAAAGAAGCTTTCTTTTCTAAGTCTATATCTTCAGCAGTAATTGAATAGCCAAGCTGGGGAGGTGGAGGCTACCAAAGAGAAAAAGGACAAGTCAGGTCAATCAGAAGAAACTTGTCCTTAGCCTTCCTAAGACTTAGGAGAGTGAAGCCAGGGTGGGCAGGATTGGTGGACAGGACCATACCAAGGACAGCTGCTCTCCTCGTCTAGATGGCAGTAGCTGAACTTTCCGTTTACGCTGCCCAGAGCTGCCAGGCGTAGACGAGGAATTCCACGAGTTCTGTTTCTTCCGGGGGGTTGTGTCTGCAACTAGAAAAATAAATCTTGACTTGTTTGCTTCCAGAAATGGACAGTTTTGTCTCTCCACTTGGTTTTTAACACGGAGTTTATAATGGGTATCTCTGACAAGATTCTATCTTTCACGGTTTGGGTGCTTGGATGGTGTTTGCAAGATTATTTCCTCTTAGTCAAGAGGGTATTAAAAAGACAACTGTTCCAAAGACATACAAGCTGCTTACAGGACAGTAAATACCTGGATCGCCCACAGGTGCTTCAAAGTGAGCTTGGCTCTAGCCAACCACTACCCTACATTTTACCGCATTTGCTGTGTTCCCTTTCTCCCTTATCAGACTATAAACCTCTGAAGGACAGGAAACCTCTCTCTGTGACTACCAGGCCCTCAACACAGTAATGCTCTGTATGTTTTTTCAATAAGCATGAATCCCTATATCCTCCATAAATACTTCCAACCATCACCACCACTCCAGCAGCCACTCCTGCTAACGCAGTAACTTACCCCCTTCTCCCTGGAACTCCTTGTCTGCTGCCAATGGAGTTGAGGAACTGGAATGATGACATGGCTCTTCTTCTCTGTTGGGAGAAAAGGCAGAATTCACTTTAGCAAGACTTCCTGACCAAGTACTGGAAAACTTCTTATATCCTCCTAACTACCAAGTTGCCAAGGCCTAGAATTAAGATCTCAGTATGTGTGGTAGCGCGCGCCTGTAATTCCGGCTACTCGGAAGGCTGAGGCGGAAGGATCGCTGGAGCCCAGCAGGTCGAGGCTGCGGTGGCCGGGAGCAGCCACTGCACTCCAGTCTGGGCGACAGAGTGAGACTCCAACTCAAAAAAAAAAAAAATCTCAGTATGAGATGGACACAGAGGCTCACACCTATAATCCCAGCACTTTGGGAGACCGAGGCAAAAGGATTGCCTAAGTCCACGGGTTCGAGACTAACCCAGGCAACTTGGCTAGCCTCATCTCTACAATAAATCAACAAATCAGTAGGGCATGCCTGTAGTTCCAGCTACTTGGAAGACTGAGGCGGGAGGACCGCCTGAGGCCAGTGGGTTGAGGCTGTAGTGGCCATGAATGTGCCACTGCACTCAAGCCTGGGTGACAGAGTGAGACTACAACTCAAAAAAAAAGAGATCTCAGTATGCCAGGATAAAGAAAGTCAAAGGAAAATTCCAAAAGAAATGAAGGGAGACAGTTATGGAAGTCATGAAGAAAACTTTTGTCTTACAACAGCCACAAAACAATGACCTTCAAAACCTTATGTACAACCTGCTGAATCCCTGGGAGTTCTAGCCATATTTGATCCCTGAGGGATTGGAGCTCCAGACAACTGTTAAGGAGAGGGGGTCAGCTAGAGTCAAGACTCTGAAGGTTACTGCCTGCTGATACGACTCTCTCTGTGGCTTCTGATCTTGCACCACGATGCCTCCTGCGGCAGTGAGGCAGACAGCTAGTGGCCACTGCAGTCAGTAGGTAAGACATGAGAGCAATCCAGGTGGGTGCTTCACTGTCCTCCTACGGCTTACCTTCTTTGAGTCTCCAAGTCAGAACAGCACAAAGCCTAACAGTCAAATACATTTTCCTCCTTACCTCATCTCTCATTCGTCCACATAGCAAATGGTAACAGCAGAAGAATGCTGATTACCTTATTTTCTTTGCTGGCCTCTCTGGTGTCTGGGAGCGGGATGATGCTGGGCTAGAGAAGGGTGATGAGCTGCGGCCACTTCTCTTCCAGAGCTACAAGTCAAACCAAGAGTGAATGACTGAGCCAGTTGATAATTTAGCATTTAGCGTCTGGCCCTCAATGTAACTTTGCAGTTCTATTCGTCACGGCACATCAAGCTTTTGTATGTGACTAAAAAGCCACAGAATGCTAATAAATGTAAAAGGAACAAAAGTACTTTTTGCATATACTAAGAGGTGAAACATGACATTCAGTAATGGTACAGAGGTATGACACACAAACCCACTCGAGACTGTCTCTGGCAGGATGAGAGCAAATGAAGACAACAAGCAAACGCAGTTAGTTTTGCTTTCATCACATTTTCAGTCTTAATTTACTACTTTATTTTTAAAAACGTGCTGTTAAGACATTGATGACTTTTGTGACATTTATGACATTGAACACTAGGTGATTTTTTTTTTGGTAGAGATGAGTTAGAGATAATTATTCATATATCTGTTCCTTCTATCAGGTGAGTCCTTGAGAGCAAGGATGATGCTTTCGTCTCTGCTTCCTTCAAAGGGCAGTAGTAAAGGAACTGGCTTAGAACAAATACTGCCAATATTCTTACGTAAGTGTTGAGCCTAATTACAAAGTTACTAAACTATCACCTTACACCACTTTTTCCTCCTTAAAAAGTAAGTTTCATCATACAAGTATAAGCAGGAAGACAACAATGTTTAATAAGAGTCCAAAAGAGAGACTTCAGATAAGAGACAGGTGGTAAAGCAGAACATTTTCATAAGACTACTGTCAGGAGGCCGGGCTCGGTGGCTCAGCCTGTCATCCCAGCACTTTGGGAGGCCAAGGTGAGTGAATTGCCTGAACCCGTGGGTTCAAGACCTGCCTGGGCAACGTGGTGAGACCTCAACTCTACAATACATCAAAAAATCAGCCGGGCGTGGTAGCGTGTGCCTGTAGTTCCAGCTACTTGGAAGGCTGAGGCGGAAGGATCGCCGGAGCCCAGCAGGTCGAGGCTGCGGAGGCCGGGAGCGGCCACTGCACTCCAGTCTGGGCAACAGAGTGAGACTCCAACTCAAAAAAAAAAAAAAGACTACTGTCAGGAAATCCAAGGCCCAGAATGAGCTTGAGAAAAATGCTCACAACAATAACAGTTTTTTAAAGTTATGCTCAGATAAAGAACAAAAAAGGATAGTCATCTGGAAAGAGCAGATCATAAGTTTTAAAAATAAGTGATTACAGGAATATAAAAGAACAGAATAGAGAAATCCATCGAAGTGACTCAAGAATTTAATACATAAGTGGCAGTCTGATCACTTCAAATCCTTAATACTAACTCACTGGTACTCACACATGACTATTCACCAGTCACTTACAAAACTTTAAAAGAACATAAATGCCTGAATCTCACACCTTGTGCTTTTAAAATAATGTGCCTGGACACTGAGGGATACACATCCCTGAGCAAGCAAGGGTCAGAGGTGGCAAATTATAAAGTTTAGCCAGGATTTAGGACAATTTGGTTCAATAATTACAGGAAAAAAGTATTATATATCTACTTTACAAACTGGACAACACGGACACTCCAGATGTAACACAGACAAAGGTGTTTGCTATCACTTCAGCATCCTACTGAAAGTCCTAGACAAGTGCTATAAGGCATAAACAAGCAGTATAAGACTAAAACGGAAGGAAAAAACTGTCATTATTGTAAACATAGCAGCATTTATAAAAATCCTAAAGAATATACAGATAAATATTCAGAATTTAGCAAACTTTCTGAATATAAAAACAGACAGAAGATACTACTTATAAATAGTAAAAACATAAACCTAGGAATACATCCAATAAAAGAGAAGTAAAACATCTCCACAGAGAAATTTTGAGATGACATAAATAAAGGATTTACCATGTTCATATACTGGAAAACTCAGTGTTATAAAAATGTCAATTCTATACAAAATAATCAGTAGATTAAAGGAAATCCCAATCAGTATATCACTGTCTTTTTTTGGTGGAAATTGACATGCCGATATAAAAATTACATAGAAATGCAAAGGCCAAGGCCCACGACGATCCTGAAAAAGATATGTGGGATAACCTATTCTAGATATTAAGACTTAATGGCACAAAGGCAGAAAACAGAGACCAAAGGAACAGAAAAGTCTAGAAATGAAATCACATCTATATGGATACTCAAAAATCAACTCAGGTAAGATGGTGGATCTACATACGAGAAATAAAATAAAAAAGCTTCTAGAAGGTAGCATAGGAGAAAATCATCATGATGTTAGATAGTCAAAAATTTCCTGAATAGCATACAGAGTAGACTAACTAAGAGAATACAAGTCGGGCTCGGTGGCTCAGCCTGTCATCCTGCGGCTCTGGGAGGCTGAGGTGAGTGGACTGCCTGAACCCACGGTTCGAGACCCGCCTGGGCAGGCGAAACCTCATCTCGACAATAAAATAAAAAAATTAGCCGGGTGTGGTGGCGCACGCCTGCAATTCCGGCTGCTCGGAAGGTTGAGGCGGAAGGATTGCTGGAGCCCAGCAGGTGAGGCTGTGGTGGCCGGGAGTGGACACTGCACTCCAGTCTGGGCGACAGAGTGAGACTCCAACTCAAAAAACAAAAAACAAAAAAAAAAAACAGAGAGTACAATGGCAAGTCAAAGAGAAGAACATTTGTTGGTTGCAACACATAACTGACAGAGGGCTTGTGGCTAGAATATATAAAGAACTTATTTAAATCAATAAGTAAAAGAGCCAAGAAATGTGAACATACACTTCACTAAAAAAGAGGCTGGGCATGGTGGCACACGCCTACGATACCAGCACTTTGGGAGGCAAAGGCAAAGAGGATTGCCTGAGCCCAGGGTGTCAAGACCAGCCTGCATAACACAGTGAGACCTTGTCTCTACAATAAATAAAAAAATTAGTCAGGCATGGTGGCAGGCGCCTGTAGTTCCAGCTACTCAGAAAGTTGAGGCAGAAGGATCGCCTGAGCCTAGTAAGTTGAGGCTGAGGTGGCCGTAAGCACGCCACTACACACTACAGCCTGGGCAACAGAGTGAGACTGGGATTCAAAAAACAAACAAAAGATACACAAATAATCAGCAAACAGTTCATACAGGTTGCAACAATAAGAATACACAGTAAGCCGGGCTCGGTGGCTCAGCCTGTAATCCCGTGCTTTGGGAGGCTGAGGTGAGTGGATTGCCTGAGCCCGCGGGTTCGAGACCCGCCTGGGCAACTTGGCGAGACCTCATCTTTACAATAAACCAAAAAATCAGCGGGGCGTGGTAGCGTGTGCCTGTAATTTCAGCTACTCGGAAGGCTGACACTGAAGGATCGCCAGAGCCCAACAGGTCGAGGCTGCGGTGGCCGGGAGCGGTCACTGCACTCCAGTCTGGGCGACAGAGTGAGACGGCAACTCAAAAAAAAAAAGAAGAATATACAGTAAAAAGTAAATTTCCTTTTTGCCTCAATAATTATTAGCACTTTCTAATATACAGTATCAAAATTATTCTATGTATATTAAAAGATTAAAGAAATCAGCAGCCCAAAAAGTAGAGAACACTATACATACAGTTCTGCACCTTGTTTTTTTTTTTTTTAAGTTGGAGTCTCACTCTGTCACCCAGACTGGAGTGCAGTGGCTGCTCCCGGCCACCGCAGCCTCGACCTGCTGGGCTCCGGCGATCCTTCCACCTCAGCCTTCCAAGTAGCCGGAATTACAGGCATGCGCTACCATGCCCGGTTAATTTTTGATTTATTGTAGAGATGAGGTCTTGCCAAGTTGCCCAGGCGAGTCTCGAACCCATGAGCTCAGGCAATCCACTCACCTCAGCCTGCCAAAGTGCTGGGATTACAGGCTGAGCCACGAGCCCGGCTTGCACCTTGTTTTTTATACAATTTGAGATAATTCTGATGGGTACCTATTAAACTGCTTTCTTTTTAATAGTTACACAGTATTTCAACTTATAGAAATACTGTTGTTAGTTATTCAGCCAGCCCCCTGAAAAGATACATTTACATTGTTTCCAACCTTCTGCTATTAATGCTACATTTAATTGTACACTCTTTGAGTATATGAAGGGGGACCTGAAAAAAACCTGGAATTTACTCATAAAATTTGTGTGGCCAGGCATGGTGGCTCATACCTGTAATCCCAGCACTTTGTGGGGAGAGGTGAGAGGATTGCCTGAGACTAGCCTGGGCAACATGGTGAGACTTTGTCTCTATAGTAAGTAAATGAGACGAGCATAGTAGCATGCACCTATAGCATAAAAAGATGGGCATGGTAGTGTGTACCTATAGTTTAAGCTACTTGGAAAGTTGAGGTGAAAGGATTGCCTCAGTCCAGCAGATCGAGGCTACAGCAGCCATGAGTGTGCCACTGCACTCCAGCCTGGGTGACAGAGTGAGACTTCAGCTCAAAAAATTTTTTAAAAGTCCATTTATTCTTACATGTTTAAACTTCAATCACTTCAAAGTACTCTATTTTAATGCAACACACCTATCAAGACAACTTTTCTACTGCTCAAAACAGTTTTTGAACTTGTCAATTTTGTTTTTATTTTTATTTTTTTTGAGTTGGAGTCTCACTCTGTCACCCAGGCTGGAGTGCAGTGGCTGCTCCCGGCCACTGCAGCCTCGACCTGCTGGGCTCCGGCGATCCTTCCGCCTCAGCCTTCCAAGTAGCTGGAACTACAGGCACACGCTACCACACCCAGCTCATTTTTGATTTATTGTAGAGATGAGGTCTCGCCAAGTTGCCCAGGCTGGTCACGAACCCGCGGGCTCAGGCAATCCACTCACCTCAGCCTCCCAAAGGCACGGGATTACAGGCTGAGCCACCGAGCCGGCTAACTTGTCAATTTTGATGCCTTTCAGTGCTTCTGTTTCACCTCTTCCACATAGCCAAAATGTTTGCCTTGAGGATTTTTCTTCCAGGGAAACAAACAAAAAAAGTCACTATGGGCGAGTTGGGGTGGATAAGGAGGGTGGGAGATGGGGGTCATACCATTTTGTTCAAAAACCCCTAAACACTCAGTGCACTCATAAATCACCCATCATGAAATGGGCAAACGTGTTGACAGACTCTCCAAAAAAATTCACTGAAGCTGAATGCAGTCTCTTACTGATGCCAATAGGTTCCTGGAACACTTACCTAGCAGGGAAACCTGTACTACAAGGGGCTCGCCCTCCAAAGGATAATTCCATTTTGGGGGGGATCCCCTCCTTGTATGTGTACAAGGTAAAGCTGCTGGATCAAATAACACGTGCACCTCTAATGTGGACAATTGCCAACACAGCCCTCTAGAGAATCGCACCAGTTGACACTCTCACCAGCAATGCATGAGAAGCCTGTTTCTTGTAATAATGTACCTCTATGGTTTCTATTTCACATTTAAAACTTTAGTTCAGAGCCGGGCTCGGTGGCTCAGCCTGTAATCCCATGCTTTGGGAGGCTGAGGTGAGTGGATTGCCTGAGCGCGCAGGTTCGAGACCCGCCTGGGCAACTTGGTGAAACCTCATCTCTACAATAAATCAAAAAAATTAGCTGGGCCTGGAAGCGCCTGCCTGTAGTTCCAGCTACTTGGAAGGCTGAGGCGGAAGGATCGCCGGAGGCCAGCAGGCGAGGCTGCGGTGGCTGGGAGCGGACACTGCACTTCAGTCTGGGCGACAGAGTGAGACTCCAACTCAAAACAAAACAAAACAAAAAAACTTTAGTTCATTTAGAATGGCTTTCTCTAATACAGGAAAAACTCTTGAATATGAGAAGGAAAAAAAAAAAAAGACCAGTAGCCCTTCAGAAAAATGGGCAAAAGATATGAACAGTTATAGAAACGGAATTGAAAATAATCATTCAATGTATGAACAGATGATCAAACTCATAAGTAAAGCTTACTGAAAAGTAACAAACTTACTCATAAGAGACGAAAATTAGATACTATTCTTCACCTGTCAAATTGGTGAAAACCCAAAGCTGCCATAATTCAATCTGTTGGTGAGGCTGTAGAGAAATTGTCCCTCATACAATGCCCACAGGAATGCTAAATGGTACACACTCTGCAGAGCTGAATTTAATAACACTTAGCAAAATCACACATGCATTTAACCTGACATGGGAATCTGATTTTGAGGAATCTATTCCAGAGCTATAATTGCCAAGGGCGAAGTGACGGATCAACAAAAATATTCTTTGCAACACTATATATAGTAGCAGAAGACTGAAATAACCCAATGTTTATCAATAGAGGACTTGAGTAACTATGCAGGTGTACTTTTTTGTTTTTTTAGATAGGGGATTGTAACATTTTTGCTATGGACTGACCTCTACTACATATTAAGTGAACAAGATCAAAGTTCAAACCTGTATATATTGTTCACTGCTTTAAGTGTCAGAAGGTTGGGATTTACAGAAATGTATACTGATTTGCATATAGTTAAAAAATGAGGAAAAATAAAAAAGCATTAAAAATTGAGAAGAAGGGAACAATGGGGAGTAGAAAGGGATGAAAATTGGATTTCTCTGAGCATATGTTGTCTTAGTGTATATTCTTTGGAACAATTATATATTTTACATAATTAAAAAAACTATTTCAAGGCTAGGCTACAGTGACTCACATCTGTAATCTCCATAATTTGGGAGGCTGAGGAGGGAAGATCGCTTTAAGCCAGGAGTTTGAGACCAGCCTGGGCAACATAGCAAGACCCTATTTCTATAAAAAATAATTTTTAAAAAATTAGCTGGGCACAATACTGTGTCTACAGTCCCCCACTACTTGGGAGGCTGAGGTGGGAGGATCACCTGAGCCCAGAAGGTAGAGACTGTAGTAAGCTAGGATCACGTACCACTGTACTGCACCCTGGGCAACAAAGCAAGACTTATCTCAAAAATAAAGATACAATAAAACAAAATAAAATACTTACCATAGTGCTTAGCACAGAGTAAGTGCTCAAAGGAAATTATCCACCTCTTTTTTCCATTTCCACATCTACTCTGGCTCAGCAATCTTTCATTTATATTACTGCTACAGCCATCTAGATTTGTCTCAAAATTCTCTCCCTTCAAAAATCTTTCTCCATACATGCTTTATCTTTTTTCCTAACTACTATTAGGTACCCACTTATTGGCTTACAGCACTGTAATGGGTGCTTTTCAAATACTAATTTCAGTTGTCACAATCCTTCAGAGATGAGTAAAAGATGTTAAATGATTTGGCTGCTCAAGACCTCATAGCTACTAAATGCACTAAATGAGGCAAGATTTGAACCCAAGTAGGTCTGGCAGTAAAACCTGCTCTGTTCCCTACACTATGCTACAATCCCTCTAAACAAGAATTATGGACTTTCTTGTTTAAAAAAACTTTCTAAATTCTAAATGCCTATAGCGTAAATCTCTTTTATGACCCAAAGCAATCAGGGCTCAACCTGCCCTTTCTTTCCTTTTTTTTATTTTAAGGATGTGGAGTACAATTCAGGGTTTGGTAACAAATGTTCAGTGTGCAGGTACCCCTGGCGATGAGGTGTGCCCCTCAACCTACCTTTTCAACCACATTAACACCATTTATTGAATTGTTCACCCTTCATCGATTTATCTGAAATAGCTTTGTCTTGTATGAGGTTTCTACATGTGCGCCGGTTGACTTTCTGGGCTTTCCACTCTTTTCCACTGTTCTACAGTTATCAATCAATGTTTGTATATTCAGAACATACAATACTAATGTCTGACAGATGGGAGCAGTAAGCCTTTCCTAATCAATTAATGCTGGCAACTCATTGCTCTCACATCCCAAAACTGTACCTGTGACTGGGAGAAGCCTCGAGTAGAGCTATAGGAACTGGCAATGGCATTGCGCCTGGAGCTGGGGATGCCGCCGGTGTACGTGCTTGTCGAAGAGCTCAAGGAAGAGGTGCGGGATCTCTTACTCGTGGGGTCGTCTGAGCTCTGGGAACTGAGGCCTCTCTTGAGAGACCCGGGCCTAATCAGAAGGGAATAAGACAGTTAGATGTACTGTTGGAGGTAATATTCTTTTGAGGTTTCAACCACGGTCATGTCACCTTTCTTAATAAGCATGAAGGGAAGAAAATAACACTTTGAATCTTTACAGCTCACGCTCCGGTTAAATCTGACAGTCAGCAGAGTATTTAAAACTTAAATATATGATTCCATTTATATAATATTCTAGAAATTGCATACTCATCTACAGTGGCAGAAAGCAGATAAGTGAATGCCTGGAGACAGGAATGGGACTGGAGGGAGGGATTAGAGAGAGGCATGAGGACACTTCTGGAGGTGATCAATGTGTTCCTTATCTTGATGGTGGGATAGTTTCATAGGTGGAAACATGTCAAAACTTAACAGATTATATACTTTAAACAGTTGCAATTTACTACATATCAATTACACCTGAATCAGATATGCCAGGTGTAGTGACTCACACCTGTAATCCCAGCACTTTGGGAGGCAGAGGCAAGAGGATTGCCTGAGCCCACAGGTTTGAGACCAGCCTGGGCAACAGAGCGAGACTCTAACTTCATCTCCACAAGAAATCCAAAAATTAGATGGGCTTGGGGCACACGCCTGTAGTTCCAGCTACTTGGAAGGCTGAAGTGGAAGGATTGCCTGAGCCCAACAGGTTGAGGCTGCGGTGATCATAAGGGTGCCACTGCACTCCAGCCTGGGTGACAGAGTGAGACTCTGACTTCAAAAAAAAAAAGATATACAGAAATAAGAGGGGATTTTTTCTAAGTCTTTAACTGAAACAGAAATTTCCTTATACATCTTTCCTATAGGATAATCATCCAACCCATTACAATGTAGACAACTCACCATCTCCTGCAGCAGTGATCCCCAACCTTTTTGGCATCAGGGACCAGTTTTGTGAGAGAATTTTTCCACAGACCCAGGGGTGAGGTGGGGGGAGATGGTTTCAGTATGATTCAAGCACATAATATTTATTGTGCACTTTATTCCTATTATCATTACATTGTAACATATAATGAAATAATTATACAACTCATCTTGAAAAAAAAAGAGGCACAGACAGAAGTGGTAAACAAAATAATAGATGGGTCACACGCAAACTAAAATAAGCATCAGATTCAGACATAAAGCCTGATACCAGATATAGCTGTACAACTGAAGTACATCAACTCACTTGCTACTCACTGATAGGGTTTTGATGTAAGTCTGCTATCTATCTATCTATCTATCTATCTATCTATCTATCTATCTATCTATCTATCTATCATTTTTTGAGCTGGAGTCTCACTCTGTCCTGCTGGACTCAGGCAATCCTGCCACCTCAGCCTTCCAAGTAGCTGGCTACAGGCACGCGCTACCATGCCTGGCTTATTTTTTTTATTTACTGTAGAGAAAAGGTCTCACCAACTTGCCCAGGCTGGTCTCGAACCCCTGAGTTCAGGCAATCCTCTCGCCTAGGCCCCCCAAAGTGCTGGGATTACAGCCCTGAGCCACCGCGCCCAGCCTGCAATTGATTTATTATGGTCTTTGTGCAGTCAAACCTCACTGCTCATGTTAATCTAAATTTGCAGCTGCTCCCCAGTGCTAGCATCACCGCCTCAGCTCTATCTCAGATCATCAGGCATTTGAGCCTTATGAAGAGCACACAACCTAGATCCCAGGCATGTGCAGTTCACAATAGGGTTCAAGCTCCTGTGAGAATCTAATGCTGCCACTGATCTAACAGGGGATGGAGCTCAGGCAGTAATGTGAGCAGTGGGGAGCAGCTGTAAATACAGATGCTTTGCCTGCTTGCCCGCTGCTCACTTCCTGTACAGCCTGGTCACTTCCTGCTCACTTCCTGTGCAACCTGGCCTGTGGCCTGGGAATTGGGGACCCCTGTCCTAGAGTGAAACTTGTCAACCATGAACCAGTTTATTCTTATACTGGAATCAAATGTATTTCCTCTTACTTCAACCCATGGATCCTATTTGAAGCCAAATCAGGCAAATTACTTTGCTTTTTTCATGTGATAGTCCTTTAGTTTTTGGTGGACCACTATGCTTCCCTCTCTTATTTCCTTATTCCCTTTGAGAATTTTCTCCTCTGGGGCTGTTATTTCTATACCTTTAAAACCCCCTCACCCACCATGACAATTCCTTTGGGCTGCTACAAATCTCAACATCTTTGTTGCTTCACTGGAAATAAATTTCAGTTTGTGTACATCCTCTCTTGCAGTGTGATATGCTGAACTGAACACCGCTCCAGGGACAGTCTGAGCAGAACTAAGAAAAGCAAGGCTGCCACCTACCCATCTCATTCTAGTCTGTCGTCTAACAGCACAGAGCAAGAGCACATTAACTTTCTGGCAGCCACATCATACTGCTGACTCAGATGAAGTGTATAAGTTATCCTGTCTTTTCACACAAACTTCTGAGCCATGTTCCCTTCCAATCAATTCTTCCTCCAGTGTGTTTTTAAACTCAAACACAGAAACTTAATACTTAAGTTTTATATTGTTGCCTTTTATCCATTGCACAAATCTTGCAATTTTTCTGTTTATATGCTTGGTTATCAAATATATTTACAAACCCTCTTAGCCTTAGCACATTTCACCCACATTAATACAAAAATATGAAAAAGAATTGGGCAGAAGACAGTTGATTGTGGTAAGTTACTCAAAACATTCCTCCCTGATTTCATTTCAAAGATATGAACCTGAACTAATTAAGCAACACAAAAAGCAAAACGGAAAATCTGCAGCTCTGGTAATGCCCCTTCTCCAAATAGCTGGTATTTCATCCAGATGGACTCTCACTTACTTAGGCACAAAAGAAGCGGGGACTCCATTGGCCACCAGGGGCTCAAATGCTGAATGGCCACTTCCACTGCTATCATGGCGCCTGTGAGAAATCAAAAAATTCTCAGTGAAATGACATGACTGTTTTTTTCCTTCAAGCACACTCTTATACTCCTGGGACTTTACACTGTCTCTGTGGAGCACAGATTCCATGGTAGACCAGAAAAAGGTTGTTTAAAATCCCAAGCTTCTAAAAGATAAACTTAATCTAAGATTACACTTTGTTAATAAGAACAGTATGAAAAATCTGTGAACTTCATATCAAAATATTACAAAAATAAATACCCCAGGCCGGGCATGGTGGCTCAAGTCTGTATTCCCAGTACTTTGGGAGGCAGAGGTGAGAGGACTGCTTAAGTTCAGGGGTTCGAGACCAGCCTGGGCAACTTGGTGAGACCTCATCTCTACAACAGATCAAAAAACTAGTTGGCCATAGTAGCGCGTGCCTGTAATTCCAGCTACTCGGAAGGCTGAGGCAAAAGGACTGCGTTAGTCCAGAAGGTTGAGGCTGCAGTGGCCATGAGTACGCCACTGCACTCCAGCCTGGGAGACGGAGTGAGACTCCAACTCAAAAAAATAAAATTAAGTAAATAAATAAATAAATGTAACACCCCACACCATCCACAGATTTAAAAAAAAACACAAAAAACCACCAAGAAACAAGTTAGGGGACTGGGTTCGGTGGCTCAGCCTATAATCCCAGCACCCTGGAAGGCCGAAGTGAGAGGACTGCCCGGGTTTAAGACCAGCCCGGGCAACTTGGCGAGACCTCGTCTCTACAATAAATAGGCAATTAGCTGGGCATGGTAGTGCGTGCCTGTAGTTCCAGCCACTTGGAAGGCTGAGGCGGAAGAATCGCCAGAGCCCAGCAGGTTGACGCTGGGGTGGCCATGAACATGCCACTGCACTCCAGCCTGAGTGACACAGTGAGACTCCAACTCAAAAAAACAAAAACAATTTACGGACCAACTCACATATCACACAGTGCTCCAGAGGTTAAGATGCCAAGTCTGTTAGAGAAAAACTCTACATTATCATATATAAGAAGAGCCTATACACAGCGCTCAAGATCACTGCTTATTTAAACTACGGCAAAGGCCAAATAAGAATCCTCAGTTACAGGCTCACCACAGGGTTGAGAAAACTCAGCACCCTGGAGAACGTGAGGAACCTGTCTGGAACATAAGAACAGCTATTTCCCCTCCACCTCCCCACCCATCCCTTCTCCTGCCTAGCTAGTTAACATTCATGCAAATCACTCACTTGACCCCCAACTATAATTTCTATCTCTAGTCATCAATTCCCGATCTTCCTATACTAAATATATCTGCATTTATTAGGATTTCTCTCACTTAACTTTGTCACCTACGGTACCAAAAGATGGTCTACTTTGAAACTGTCAGATATGAACAATCTACTCTAGGTAATGGGAACAATAGGTATATTTTCTAGGTGTGGAATTCACTGTTTCCTCAGAAAGCTCTTCCTTGACCACTTTGTATAAAGAAACCCCCTTCTTATTACCTTTATTAATCTTGGTTTATTAAAATCCTTGTATACTTATAAACTATATTTACTTTACTGTTCTATCCACAGTACAGAACAGGGTCTGGGGCAGAGTAGGTGCTCAATAAATATTTGTTAAATTAGAAAAATGGGTGGAATCCTTAACTGACTCCTTGGAAAGCCACAAATAGTTCAGTATTCTAACCAGTCACTTCAATTTCCTCTCTTTCCATAACTTAGAAAATGGACTATTTACTCCATTTTCATTAAATTATCATATAAACCAATAAGGAAACTGGTTTTACTCTCATTACTGATAAATTTACCATGGTCTAGTTTTCACTTTTCTTTGACAAGCATTTCCTTCAGCACAATTATGACACTTAAACTGGTGGCTACCCAAATAACCGAACAACAAAATGTGAGGGGAAGACTTTGAGCATTCTCTCTTGAAAATAAAAAAACACATTTGCATCATAAATATGAGGCTAACACGGCTAACAGCTGTCAGTTTATCTCTAGTAGTTATGGGAAAGGGATATTATAAAATATATCTAACCTGTGCCTTAAGAAATGCATAGCATTAAAGCCCTTATTACCAGGCTCTTCTATGAAAGTCAAAGAAGGGACTCTATTAAAGCTCACAAACTGGAGTTGGCCTTGCTATTTTATGGGAATGGCCTACATTTCATCAAATTCTCAGGAGTCCACATGGAAGGCCTATTCACTACTCTACTGAGTCTGTTACCTTCTTTTATTTTCCTGTCCGTCAGGAAATATTTGGTCTTCTTCCTCCACTGTCCTTTTCTTCTTCTCTTTGAGGGCACTCAGTACAGTCTCCTTTGCACATGGGTCTGGGGCATTACTTGATGGTGAGGTCAGTGTTGAGCTGATTATCTGCTCTGGTCTGCAACGAAAGACAAGATTCTAAGCCAGGTGCAGTGGTTCACGCCTGTAATCCCAGTACTTTGGGAGGCGGAGGTGAGAGAACTGTCTGAGTCCATAAGTTCAAGACCAGCATGGGCAACTTGGCAAGACCTCGTCTCTATAATAAATCAAAAAAAATTAGCTGGGTGTGGTGGCACACACCTATACTTCCAGCCACATGGAAGGCTGAGGTGGAAGTATCGCCTGAGCCCAGCAGGTCAAGGCTGCAAGGCTGCGGTGGCCGTGAGTGTGCCGCTGCACTCTGGTGACAGAGTGAGATACCAACTCAAAAAAAACCAAAAAAACCCCACAAAACTCTAGTAGTAAGATATCTTAATTACCATGATATAGCACAGACTTAAGAAACTGAAAATCAGAAGCTATTCAATAGGCAAAAACATAATTTATATACTAAGTTAACAGTTAAAGCTAATTTTTGTTAACAGTAAAAAGTGAAAAAAATTTTTTTGTTTACTACAATTAGGGATTTCTCATTCAAATAAGCAGTTACTTCCTTTTTTGGCATTACAGTAATTTAGTCAGAAGAACAACTGTAGAAGAATAAAAGTGGACACAAAAGGCAAAGTATTCTTCCAACAATAATACTCACATTGCAGAACGAGTCAGTTTGCTGTCTGGAGGGGCAATCCTCACGGTCACTGGACTACACACCATCTTGGAATTTCGAGGAGACAGCACAGTCTTTTTGTGATAACCATTCCAGCACACTGTGGGAAGTACCCCCACTACAGAATATTGGGCCTGGTGGATTGGATAGCGTCTTCGAGGTGTTATTAGAACCCGATTTGATAAAGTCCCACTATCCCTGCAGAGAATGGAAGACACATCATGGAACCAAAGAAACTCAAAAGAATGTCAAAAATTTAGATGGCTAAAGAACCACATAAGTTTGGACATTTTCCAGAGAGCCTAAATCTCTAAGGAACACAGAACACAGTATTTTTATGGCAACTTTCTCTTATCCCAGCTAAAAGCAGAAAGTGACAGCTGCTTAACATCTGCCTCTACAACGGACTTCAGCAATTTGAGAGGGAAACTGAAAACCCTGCCAGTACAAGTAAAACTTCAACGAAGCCGGGCTCGGTGGCTCAGCCTGTAATCCCGCGCTTTGGGAGGCTGAGGTGAGTGGATTGCATGAGCCCGCGGGTTCGAGACCCGCCTGGGCAACTTGGCGAGACCTCATCTCTACAATAAATCAAAAAATCAGCTGGGCATGGTAGTGTATGCCTGTAATTCCGGCTACTCGGAAGGCTGAGGCAGAAGGATCGCCAGAGCCCAGCAGGTCGAAGCTGCAGCGGCCGGGAGTGGTCACTGCACTCCAGTCTGGGCGACAGAGTGAGACACCAACTCAAAAAAAAAAAAAAAAAAAAAAAACTTCAATGAAAGAAAAGAATGTTTGTTGGGGTGTACAGGGAGGAACTTTTCAAGAATCTCTCAATCTTTTATGCTAAATCTCAAGTAATGCCCCAAACCAAACATTTTTAACATCTAGTTCATCTTCTCAACTAAATGTATTTATCAAGAATCTATGCTGGGAACGTGGCTCACACCTGTAACGTCAGCACTTTGGGAGGCAGAGGCAGGAGGACTGCTTGAAGCCAGAAGTTTGAGACAAGCCTGGGCAACAAAGTGAGACTCCATTTCTACAAAAAACTTGGCAAATTAGTCCAGGGTGGTGGTGTGCGCCTGTAGTCCCAGATACTTGGGAGGCTGAAGCAGAAGGACTGCTTTAGCCCAAGAGTTCAAGGCTCCGGTGAGCCATGACCATGCCACTGCACTCCAGACTGGGTGATAGAGTGAAACCCTGTCTCGAAAAAACAAAAAAGAAAACAAACAAACAAAAAATCTTTATCAGATTTTTTAATATACTTTTGTATCACTCAGTTATTGGGACCAAATGAAAATGACTCTCTAATTTATAAGCTTTATCAATCATGCTTTTTGTTATCAAGCAAAGAGGTGTTTCCTGGCAACATCCATTTGAGCTCAGTTAACTGACAGACTATCTCTTACTGGTCCAAAGACAAAAATTTACCAAACATACCCCTCGACTAAACTTGAAGGAAATGGCAATTTCACCCGAAGTACTGACATTTCACTGGATTATTACGTATACTGCTAAACCCAGACTGCACTCAAATGCAGGCAATTTTAACAACTGGGGCGAAGGGAACAGCTCTGGCAACACAACACCTCATCCCAAGAGTCAGGAGAGGCAGGACACGGCTGACACACACCTAGTTTCGTTGAAGAGGACAGAATCACAGAGTCCGCGTGGGACTTCAGGAAAAGCGCATTTAAAAGTCAAGTCTCGACCTAAAGCCCGTCTAGCCCGAGGAGAGGAGGGCGAGCAGGGCGTCTTACCGGTGGGAAGGCCGCGGGGCGTGCCGAAGG